CTCTACTTTTCTTTTCACATTTGCAATGTATAACCGTATTTTACATGCCCTTTTTGCAGCACTACCAGCTGCTGCTTTGGTTGAATTTCATTTTAACACACTTCCCAAGCAGTACGGAGATGGTGAGAGTCAAACTTTAATTGCCTGTCTGTGCTAAGCAAGACAGTTAAACATGCAGTTAAAGCACATGTTCAACAAGAAAATATGGTCAGTCTGATTCCAGTGGTATGAAAGACTGCTTTGGTCTCCTGGGCTGAGAGAAAGTTTAAGAAAAACATCTGCATGGATTTTTTGTTTCGAAGTCTAGAGACGATTTGTGCCTTGGCTGAGTCTGGCTGCAAGTCCTCGTAGGAGAAGAAGGCCTAACAGTGAGCAGTTGCCTGCCTTTGATGAAAACCTTCTAGTTAGCTAGTCTAAAATAGAGTGGAAATGTTTTTGTGAACCTTTCTCCACTGAAGGATGAAAAGAGGTTTTCCACTGAAAACACAAAACAAAAAGCAACCTTTTTAAACATAAGTTTATGGAAAATTCTGTGACCATCTTCATGTAAAAATAATTACTCTGCTTTCCCTAAGACTTCAGATCATTCCCTTCTTTTCTCTGTTTCTTTACTCTTATTTTTTTCCAGTGGACATAAAGTAGTTAGTACCAAAGGACAATATTAGGCTTTCCCATTTCTTACCAAAAGAAAAGCCTCTGGAAAGTACAAGATATAAAAATGAAACTTGCCCTGGACTTGTGCTGGAAATTCAAACATAGCAACTCAGAGCAAATGCAAGATCATCAAGAAGGACAAGGGTCTATGTAGTTTTTTCAGAAGGTGAAACCTACTGCTTTAAGTTTCACTTATACACATGCATACACAATTAAACAAAAAGTGGCTATGTAAAACATCCAATGAACACTGACCTTTGAATCACACCAAGTTTCTGCTTCTCCGTGAAGAAACGGATTTCTTCCTCTGCTTTTTGGGATTGGTCCCCAGCTAATGATGGGGTATGTTCAAGCTGTTTTTCAAAAGTTTCTGCATTCTATATTCTGGTCTAAAACTCCTGTCGCTCATCTCTTACTATGCCATAACCTATGTTTTTTGGGTAGCTGGAGCCATTTTCCAGACCTTGGAGGATCACTGTTTGCAAGATTGTTCTCTGCATCTTGATTCTAGAAGTTTTTAACACCCAGCTGCTCATCCAGATGTATTTAGGAGCTTTGAAATTCAACTGCTATGCTATTAAGTAGGTTTTGAAACCTTTTTTTTTTTGGCTCAGAGTAGCTACAGCTTTTGCTAAGCCTCTCCTTCATCTGTGTTAGAGCTGAACTAAGATATTGAGCATTTTCTCTTTTGGGTCATCCATGAGACTGCAAATTCAAAGTGCTATAGGAGAAACAAACTCAATTAGCAGGATCCACAGGGCTGATCCCATACAAAGATCTGGTTAGCATTTTGGGCTGCAGATGGCTGCCACTGGGAACCATCCAGCCAGATACCCACTGGTGCAACACTGAGCTCTCCCTGCTCCTGGAGACAGGTGCCCCAGATTCCTTCCACTTCTATGCCCTACTGCTTTTTTTGTTATGGAAGATCCCAGAGACCAACCTTGCCACAGTTTCTTTGAGACATACACACTTTCTCCTTTACTGTCAAAACAGGGATTTTGAAACTGATTTTTCAGTCCACATACTCACAGACACCTAGCCAGACTTCCTTCTTTTATTTCTAATTTCAGCAACACTGGCTAGAAGATCTGGCTTCTTCAGTGCTCTCTTTTACCCCTTTAATACTTCACACATCTCAGTAAAGCCTTGTTTTCATTCCCCTCAGACCTGTATATGCCAGTAACCAAAGAGGATGCAAAAATGTCAATCAGTGTCTCAGACTGACAATTGCATTTAATTACCTCTGACCCCCCCCCAGCCACAGATGTTTCAAATAACAGTTCAGGAACTCAACAAGGTTGTCCCCAGGTGCCTTAGAGATAACCAGAAGTGCAGTAACATGGCTTTCAAAAGGATAGTTCAAATAAGCAGCCAAACTAAGCATGAGTCCTGAACCAATTGAAGTTTGCCTCTTTTGCTAGTGTTGTGAACTATAATTCTCCACATTTATGGAGTGCCTTCTACTTTAGGATGTATGACAACTTAAGAGACTTTAATTGACTCCCAACACCCCTTTTGTAAGTTTTATTTCTAATTCACTGGCTAAGAAAAGCACAGCATAAAACATGAAACCATTGTCCAAGTGCATGGCAGTAAATACAAATTGCTGAAATAGCTCTCCCCTTTTTATGAGAAGTATAGCTTCTGTACCTGCCCAAACGGATTTGGGGGGGTGGGGGGTGTTAATTCATAAATGAGTCAACAGCATTAAAAAAAAAAAAGAGGTGGGAATTCTTTTTAGTGAACTGTCAATAGATATAGGCTGTCTCTTAAAAGGGAAGTTGAAGAGAAGAGCAAGTTGGAAAGTTTTCCAACTGCATGTCAGTGTTTCTCAGAGATGAATCCATCACTTTCCAGAGATGCCACTTCAAAGGTAGTTACAAATATGCCCTCCGAAACTACAGGAAATTTAGTGCCTATAAAAAGGGAGGGGTGGGGGAACCCCACAACCAGCAAGCAACCAACTAAAACTGGGTCCTAAGTTACGACATAACAAGTGTTTTCCATAGAAGTAATTATTTACACATTCCAGACCTGCTGAAATAGGATGACCATTCCCAAAATAGTCTTTGCAGGATATCAAATTACTAAAAACACACAGGATATTTCAGTGAGTGTTTTGTTCATCAAGAAAACTGATAAGCTTAAAGGCTTCATGAAAGAGAAATATCTTTGCTTCTTCCCCGGGGGGAAGGGGTAACTTTTCCTACACATGTTGTTCCTAGAAAGCCATGTGTTCATTTCAGGGGTAATGTTGGTCCATGCTGTGAGCCAGTGTTGCAAGACTGGGAGCTGATCATGCCTCTCGATATGCAAAGCAGTGGCAACTTCCTTTCTCCTTCAGTCAAGGCTGGGAAAAGGAAGATGTGTATCCTCTGGAAAAGACATAGTGAATTTGCAGAGTCCACACAAGATGGGTCTATACTGGGGAACGTAAAGAAAAAATTTCCAGTAGTCCAGCTAGTACCATAACAGTAGCAGTGGTGCTGCAGGGGCCCTAACTCAGAGAATACTCTGTCAGTGTAGTCAATGCACTGATGTCCTTTGAGCAATCACTCTTGCTGCGGTCAGTGGAATTGCACCAGAACTTGAATTCAAGAGTTGAAAAAATGCTTAACGAGGTATGCAGTTTTAATTATTCCTTATTTGTCCTATTTTATATCTTATTTGCCTAAGAATGTTGTTTTATCTTTTAGGTAAAAATAATGACAAAACAATTAAATCAATTTCCTTCTTGTCTAGGTCTAGCACAGCTTAAATGCCTCTATATTCTTATTTTTCAGATGTTTCCCTATAGCATTTATTATTACCTTACCCTTGTATTGCTCCTCTTGTTCCTCTCCTGGTTGGTTTAATTTGTTAGTACATTTATTTAGAACCAAAGATATATATGATGCTGAACAGGGACACACAGAAACACACGGCTCCAACCTTGTTCCAGATAGCATGCAACACTTTCTGATGGTCTTCACAGCTCTATCAAAAGAAAACATGCACAAAACATGACTAAGCTATTTCATCTAATGCTTTATGAATTGCTTTACAACTCTCAAAAAATGTGTTGATTCTTCTTCCTGAGACAAAGACTGGACCTAATCACTGAGAGACTGAAGGAAATTAAGTGCTGAGGGAAGATTTACATGAGACAAGGAAGCTACCCTAAATAAAGTGTCCAAAAGGACATTTAGATTGCATTTGACACATCTAGCAGAGAGGAGTAAGACCACACCTCTGCCAAAGACAGTTCCAAAAAGATTTACATATAGGTGTCACTGAATGCTTTTGTAACTAGAATCTATGTTAATCTGAGCTCTACTCCATTCCCCTGAAGAGGAGTTTTACAAGTCTCTTCTAACACCTGATCAAAAGCTTCCATTTAATCTGAAAAACTGACTAGATGCTTCTTCCTTGAACTGTCTCAGCAGAGGGATCCTGAATGTTAGCATGGTTTCCTCCAACAGCAAACATTTAGCACACAAATATAAAAAGACAAGCATTTCAGAAGAATTCATCAAAAGATAAAAAATTTCTGTGCGTGTGCACAAATATACATGTAATAATACATGTAAGATGAGCTTTGCCACTATATAGTGGTTCAAGAAGATGCTACTACAATACCTGCTCACAGAGAAACAGCACAGCTCTTAGTGAGGAAGAATTCTTCCAACTTACTGAGAAGTTCCAGTGCAAAGGGTCTGCCTGCACAAAGGTATCAATAAACTAATCACAAAAATCTAACCACAGCTAAACAAATGTTCTTTGACCAATTACCAGCTGACACTCTGTACATGCCTCTGTACAGTCAAGTTCCTGGAAATGAAACACAAGAATATTATTTATCTAAAAATGGACTCACTGTTCCGAACAGGAGTCCCTTCCAAGCTTAAGAGCCTGAAGTCATGCAGGGGCTCCCTGAAGCATTTATCTGGTCACACACATCTAGATGACAGCACTGTTGTTCTCATTAGGACAATAACTTCTGGTACTGACTAGTGACTTCTGAAATGTTATTCCTTGCTGAAGCATCTCAGGTTTGAATTATAGGGATTGAAAAAGAATGGGATATTCTCAGTAGAATAATCAGCTATTTTTTTAATTGAGAATTCATATATACAGCCTGTGGAACTCTGTGCAAATGGATGCAAACAAAGAGCTTCATGTAATACAGTGCCTTTTGGACTGATCTCACAGTCACTTATATATACATGGGCATGAATTGCTCAGTGCAATCCCACCCCCCTCCCATGTCTGTTCCTGACACTGGATTAAAAAATCAGACAGTCCAGCCTGAGACTTTTTTTTTCTTTTTTTTTTTTCAGAGGCACCACAGTAGGCTGGCTCAGTCACTCTGTCTTGAGACGGACAGCCTCCCGCCGTTCCTTCTGAACAGTCCTGGAATCTTCCCACAGACGGGGTCCTCTGATGTTCTCCCAGTTATCCAAGTCAGACTTTTTCAGCTTCTGCAGATAAACAGCAAAAATAACAGCGTCACCTTGACAGCCCCATGATTTAAAGTACGTATTATTCTGAATTGTTTTCTTTTTGCACAAGAAACTCAGTATCACGATTGGGTTGATGAACTTTCATCCACCCTGCAAGAGAAATTCAACAACAAGAGAAAAAAATTTGGGAGTTATCCATATGCATAAATGACTAGGGTAGGCATTACTGCATCTGCTTATCAAAAGATAAATAACATGTAGGACAGGAAGCACTATAGCATCTGAACACAACTGAAGTTATCTCATATTCACTTTTTCTTTCTTCTTCCACCTTGTTTTCCACATCTGTTCTTCAACTGCAAGTCTGCCAAGTACTGAAGTAGTAGGAATGATAAGCATTGGTATAGCTCAAACAGAAGATTAGTAATTAGTGACTTGAAGTATCCTGTCAGCACAGATACAAAGCATACTGGAAAAGATGAATTATCTAGCACAAAGAGAGACAGTAACAGTGCAATCTCCTTCAACACATGTGGTTTTAACTTGAGAGAGAGGTATGCGATGCTTTCTGCTACATAGTTTCTCATGGCACCCAATCATCACAGATAAGTCTCTCACTAAGTCACACATGAGATAGGCTAACTGGTCGAACTGTCAGATACTTAAAAACTATGGAGATATTAATTACCTCCTTGCCTACTCCTATCATACCCACTCAGAAGTGCTAATGACTGCAGTATTTACCTAGCCTTAGAGGCACACAGAAATGAAGAACAGATGCCCTCCTGACCTCACCTACCAAGTGCTGCAGTTGAAGACGACAAACATACACTGCATTTTCACAGTCCTACTGGCAGAGACATAGAAGTCCCTTCCCAGCAGACACAGACCTCAAGTCTCACATACCAGCCTGAAGTCCAGAAGGGTACATCAGAATCAGACACGACAGGGCTCTGCCAACAGGAGGCTGAGGAGGGGGTCTGCACCACTGCCAGAAACAGGGTTATTCTACATGCTACTGAAGAGGGCAATACTGCACACCTTTAATGATATGTACTGCAGTGGGATTTAAACCTCTGGCTTGTGATCAGGGCCTTACCTCAGCAAATGCTGTAAAAATACACCAGAAAATACTTAACCCTGCCCTGAGCATGTGGTCTAATCTGCCTGCCATCAAACATCCAAATAAATGGCAAATACTGAGGGACTTGAATAATAGTTGCAGAATAATTCAATAGCTAGAACACAAAAGACCTGCTGCTATTAGTTCATGTTATGTAAAAGGTTTCTGCCACTTCTACAACTGAGGAAATTGCAATGAGGTTAGTCAGATATCAAAAGAAATTAGGCAACATTTGACAGAAGATATATGAGAACACATGCACAAACACAGCAGACTTTCACAAGGTAGGAGCAACTGAATTTTTTATACAGTGGAGTTGGCATAGGTCTTTCTGAAGAATTGTCTTCACTACTTTTTACATCTTATGATTAGCTGGTAGTTCATTTCACCTGGAAGGGATCTGACCTGACATGGAAGGAGGGAGAAGGACGGAAGGTACCCATCATCCCACGCAGCAGTGACTATCCACTCTGATTGCAAATTCAGAATTTAACACCTGATTCTAATGGAAGCTTCAAGGAAACTACTGAAAATAACCTTGTGCTTTAACAGAAGGGAAGCATACTGATTTTATTAAACACAAAGGTACCACACAGCTGCGAGGATCTAAACTATTCCAAAAGGTGCTCGGCTCCTGAAGCCTGAACAAGAATCAACATTTAAAATATATACAACAAAACTTGTAGAATCTAAAGATAGGCTACATAAAGAAGTCTATCAAAAGAGACATGCATACTGGAGATCTCTACCAAAAGTTCATGTTAATCTGCCCCTGAAATTTCACAAAGGATTTTCATACAGGAATTTTGTCCAAAACAGGAAATATTTCAAAACTATACAATCTAAACAAAGCAGTACAAGAAGTATTTTGGCAGTTTCCAACGGAAAGCATAAAGGTACCTGGAAAACACACTGTGATATACTGACAGAATAAAACAACCAAGGGTTATATACAGTAAATGGCATTGCCTCAAACTGCAGAAAAGATGAGATCTACTGACAGAGTTAATTTTTGTCAATTACAATATAAAGAATTAAAGATTCTAACGAATACATAGACTGTATTTTTATTTTTTATTCTCATCATACTTATAGAGATTGTTAACATATTGTGTCAAGTATAAAGATTGTGTTTGATACCCTGTTGCAATTCAAGAAGCAAGCACCTTCCTTACTGGAACATGACAGTACCTGTGAAAATTGGTAGTGTACGGGACAGGTATCTGTTCAGTCATCAGAAGGCAGCATGATTAGACCATCCAATTTTCTAAACTGATGCCATAAAGCTTTGAAAGAATAGAGGATGACTGTTGCATGTGGATAAGCATAAGAAGGAGTATCACTGGTGAAAGGGGACCTGCAAATCTGTTCTGCAATGCATTCCTACTGTGTAGCTATTTTCACATGTATCTGCCTTTGCTGGTACTGACTGGGATAGAGTTAATTTTATTCATAGTAGCTAGTATGGGACTATGTTTTGGATTTGTGCTGAAAACAGTGTTGATAATAGAGGGATGCTTTTAGTTACTTCTGAGCAGTGCTTACACAGAGTCAAGGCCTTTTCTGCTCCTCGCACCACCCCACCAGCGAGTAGGCTGGGGGTGCACAAGAAGTTGGGAGGGGACACAGCTGGGACAGCTGACCCCAACTGACCAAAGGGGTATTGCACACCATATGACATCATGCTCAGCATATAAAGGCGGGGGAAGAAGAAGGAAGGGGGGATGTTTGGAGTGATGGCGTTTGTCTTCCCAAGTAACCGTTATGTGCGATGGAGCCCTGCTTTCCTGGAGATGGCTGACACCTGCCTGCCGATGGGAAGTAGTGAACGAATTCCTTGTTTTGCTTTGCTTGCGTGCGTGGCTTTTGCTTTACCTATTAAACTGTTTTTATCTCAACCCATGAGTTTTCTTGCTTTTGCTCTTCTGATTCTCTCTGCTATCCCACCGGGGGGCAGTGAGCGAGCAGCTGTGTGATGCTTAGTTGCCAGCCAGGGTTAAACCACAACATCTCCATACAACTAAATAAAATCTCACCTTTTTGCTTGGTCACTCACATGAAAATTCTTACAACAGTATCACCCCAGAATAAATGTCTACATTAAATGTAAGCCAATGTAGGCTACATTTTAAATTAATCTCAGTGCCAAGAATAAGACCAAACTGACAGTCCTTCTATTGATTAGGTGCAGCACAAGCTGCAAAGTTACACAGCTCCTTCAGACTGCCTGAGCTGCACAGTGAGAATTCAGGCAAGCAGGTAGTTCTGCTCCCAGATGAAGTCAACCTCTTTCATTCAAACTGGTTGGGCCTTTTTAATTTCTTATTTTATTTCTTTTTTTCTTTTTAGCCACCTGGACTCTGCCCACCTAACTTCATGGAGAATCACACAAAGATGGTAAACCACTTCCAGCTTTTACTAAATTGAAATTCATAGGAACTGGCAGTCTAAAACCAAAAAGCTTTTTCTCCCAATTCAAATGTACTAAACAGTCAATCATTGGAGACTACAATGAAATGTAATCAGATCAGACCAGCACCACTATTCCTGCTTGTTTCAAATAGCCCAAAGGATATTGAAAATTAGCTGTTTAAAGTAAGATCAATGTAGTCCATTAAACCTACTGATTCACTTCCTACATCAGCTAAACTGCCTCTTAAAAGTACAGGACTGACAGAAGCTGTAAATTAAAAAAAAAAAAAAAAGCAGCTATGCAGTTAGGTACAGTGAACAACAAAAAAAAATTATAAACTGTTTGCCAAACACTTTGTTTGCCAAACACTTGACTCTTAAGACTTCTGTTAAACAGCTTGCCTGGTGCAAAGGTACCCATAAGGATGTAAAGAGACCTTCACTTCTTAATTGCTGTGTCAAATACCAGGCCTGATATTAAGTAAAAGCCATAATCCTCTGTCAGCCTTAAAATAAAATAAAATCTAAAAAAGAGTTTGAATTCCACTCTTGCACAATAGTCTTCATGCCACAATAAACAAACTGAAATCTGCAGAAATTCATTTAGAGCTACTGATGCTCAAGCTGAGTTAATTCAGGGTGGTCACTTGCAAAAAATGTTTGGCTTTAGTCTCCATTTCCCCCATGTGAAAAGAGGGATAAGAAAATCCTGTTTACTTTACAGCTTGATGCAATAGATTCTGTGATAAACACCACAGAAAGAAATTGCTCTAATTCAGAGAGACAATTATTTCCCACCATTATAGTAAGCAAACCCATCTGCAGATAAAAGATGAGCCAGGGAAGAATATCCTCATGGCTGAAAGATGCAGTGAAAGAAATGCATTCAACCAGTCTGTTTTTGCAAGGGTGTCAAAACATCTTGAAGACCACAGAAGATACATTGAGGAACTCTGTGATGACGTATAGATGCAGAGGTACAGAAATAAGGCTAACACTGAAAATCCTAACTTTATCATCACACTGATATGGCCTTATCGTTTTTTTTACAAC